AACGGTGAAACATACGTCGTCATTTTCTTGATCGCTCCCTCTCTGCCGCACCCCAACGCCGTCCACTAGTTCTTTCTCTCACCTCCTTTCTTATGAGCTTTCCCAGTCTCATCCCCCTCATTCTCTCTCTTTCTTTCTCACTCACACACTCACTCCCTCTCTCTCCCCTCTGGCTCTATCTCCCCCTTTCACGCACACCAGCACTTACGCACTCTTACCCCCAAGGACGCTCTCTCTCTGTGCTCTCCCTCTGTGCTCTCTCTCTCCGCTCCCCCTTTGTGCTCTCTCTCTCTCTCTGGCTACACAGCCTCTGACTCTCACTGTGTGCTTTCCCCCTTTCTTAGTGCTTTCTTCCTCTCGTCCAGTCTTCCGAGTCTGTTCATGTGGAATGAATTTATATATATATATATATATATATATATGTTCTCATAAGAAAGCATATATAATAAAACCTTTAAAAGAATTCTCTGAAGCTGCAGCATGGACTTTCCTCTCCTGCTCCCATCCCTGTTGGACCTCTCTCTCTTCCCAGGTTCAATCCTTGATGAGCTTTACATGAGTTGATCCTCCCGGCACTGTTCTGCGTGTTGTCCACCATCGAGCGAAGTCACACATACCTGAAATGCAGTTGGTTCGGTCAACGGCGGGAGCGGGAGATCATCTCGTCATCTGAAAGTTTCCAATCAACAGAAGGGATGTGTGGCCCTCTTTTAAAAGTGGTTGCTTCCTCCCAACARCGGAGATGGTCGATCCCCTCCCTAGCCAAAGGTAGCACGAGAWGTAACAGGATCCGTCGTCTGGGAAACTGAACAGGGCTCTAATTGGATGTGGCTGCTCCTATCAACAGCGGAAATGAACGCGGCTCTTCACATTGCAGACAAGTAGTACCTCCAACCGCCCACTCCTTTCCTCTGGGCTCCGTCTCTCTACCCCCCCCCTCTGTTCTCCCTGTCTCTCTCATCGACATTTCCATGTCTCTCTTCACCGTCTCTCACTCTCCCGTTCACACTCACACACACACCGCCATCACAACAGCAGCAACAGCTCACGAACGGCACGGGTCCTCCAGACGCGCTGCACCTGCAACTGCGTGTGGGCGGGGAACACCTTGCACGTCTCTCCCGCTGATCCACACGAGCACCCCCCAACACCTTGCTCGCCCTGCTGAACTCCCCCTTCCTCGCGGTCGTCCGTGCGGTTACACACGCCCGCCAAGTGCCGCATTACACCGCGTACACCTTGCTCACCTCCTGTCGTTCCCTCGTCTCCACGCCTTACTTACTATATGTCGTCTGGCCCTCGACCTCCTGTTACTGTCGGGCCTGCCCCTCGTGCTTCGCAGCGCGTGGCACTGAGGACCCGTAACCCCCGCGCTAGACCCGCGTACCAGTACTTCCAGGGCACTCCAGGCGAATCCTCGGCGCACGGATCTAAGAGTTCACCTATGTCGCATCGAGCGAGGGACCAAAGTGATATACAGCGGTACCTGACTGCCGCTCGCCGTGTCCGGAAGCAAGCCTTGCCCTTTGCGCTGTCATGAGAGGGACCGGGCCCGCATCCAAGCCTGTGGTCTGGCGGGTTTCGGTCTTCTTCCAAGCCGGAGGCAAGTGCCCCGATCAGCACCAAGGGGCAGCGCAACTGCCGAATGATGTAATGTACAACAAATGCTGACCATACCGAGCCTGTATCAAACCAACTCGCCGTGTCCGTTCCCTGGCAGTGTTGAATCCGGGWMAACCAACAATATACCATACCGTACGAATGCCGGATCTGTAGACWAAGTCACGCCAGCCTAGTATCATCATACCAGTGCCAACCAAAACCGATCCCGTGATCCGTGGCGCCAACCATACCGACCCGGGTGCCGAACCTGAAACAAGCACTGTAAGTTGCAGCGACCCGTGCCTCGCCAATGCCAAACCAAGTCCAGACCTGAAAATAAGAYAGTAGCGTATGCCAGACCGACACCGGACCCATGCTGAGCCAGACGTTGGTCCCGAACCAAGACCGAGTCTGAAATATGCGGGACACCGTACAGTACCGCAATACCGTAATCATTATGAACCTGAAAATAGTGCAGTGGGGGCCACCACTCAGATGTCGAGTACCGAGTCTCAAAGCAATGCCATAAAGTGTACCAACCGATGCCAGATACCGAACCCGAGCACGGTGCAGTGGAGTGTACCAAAACCGATGTTGAATACGTAATAACTGTTGTGATAGCGCCGAACCCGAATTATGTCGTTGTCGAGTCATACCGAACCTGAAAACAATAGTCGCGATGGCACCGAACCTGAAATAAATTGCCGTGGTGGTGCCAGAGCTGAAATAAATTGTCGTAGCGACCCCAAACCTGAAATAACCTGCTGTAGTGGTCCCGAACCTGACAATAAATCACGCTGACGTGCCCGAGCCTGATATACGCCGATGTCGAGCTCACGCCGAACCTGAAATATGCCCGGTATCGTGCCAAATACCATAATGTCGGTCCAAATAGCACCATCCCACGCCATCCATGCGACTCCCGCTCTCAGAACATCCCAAATGCGGTAATGTTAGTAATCAAGCAAACCAGGGAAAGCGACGCAGGGAACCTCGACCATCGGCAGTAGTGAAAACTCTTAAAATCCGGGGAAAATGTTCAATCCGGGGTCAGAGCTAATGACGGGTAATCGAGGCGAAATTAGGCCAATCTCCTAATAATTATGGATTCCCGTCCCTTTCATCATTTTTCATCATTCTTCCCTTTCCTTAATTCTATTGTTGGAAATAGTAAATTAACCGTAAGATCCCCAAAATAAAATTCCGAGAAGGTTTAAATAAATGGCCAAATTTCGTTTGTTTTTTTTCTCTTTTACCATTTATAATCTTTTTCTATGTTTTTAATTTCATTGCCGCGGACATAAAATAAAAGGGGTATTCCCCATTGAATTAAATGCCGTAAAAAATAAAGAAATTACCCCTACTGGTCGTAATCCCTTTTCCCCATCTTTAATTATGGTACTAAAACAGACAAAAATTTGAGCCTCATTTCGGCCCCGGTCATATGCCGCAAAAAATGTGGCTGCGAGGTCAGTTCCCGCGATGCTTCCTCGCGGCAGGCCAATCCGGGTCTAACCCTCTGAACGGCCGGAAATGACGGTCCGCTGATGTGCCGAGTGCGACCACCTATCTTGCCATCTTGGAGGGTTACCCGTAAGGTTCAGCGCGCCCAAAATCAAGGGCGCCCTGAGCTCCCCTAATTTCCGCTGCCTGGTCTAATCAGAGTACCGTCAAAACTCAGACTCGTATCTGCGCCTAAGTCCCAAAACCGTAGATTTCAGGTGGCGCACTGCTTGTGGCCGCCTGACAACGTCGCCCGTGTCATTCCATTTTATGTGCAAAATGCCTTCGGCGAGCGCGATCTCTCGACTCTTCAGTCTACTGCCAGTCAACACGGACAGGACCTTATTCCTTACAGTCGACGGACAGCTTCTTGTGACCGGCCAGCTTCTCCGTCGCCTCGATCGATCTGTCGTCGTCGCAGCCCATGTAGGGAGGGCAGTCCTTGAACAGCGAGGAGTCAGTGACGTATTTCGTGCTCCCGTCCCACAACTCAACATCCAAACCACGACTCTCAAACTATCTGAAAATTGCGGACCTTGATTTCAGGAACGGGAACCTCTGGCTCCAATCCGCGTCCGACCTTTTGTCGTGCTTGAACTGGTAGTAGTTCCACAGACGCACCAGCACCCGGTCGCACTTCACCAAATTCACCACCTCCTGGACGCTCAGCTTTCTGAGCTTCGCGAACACTGGGGAGACGGCCTGTACCCAAACCACCTCGCAAGCGAGCACCTTCTTCAGGACGCGGCACTTCTCCTTGTCTGTCAGCGACTCCATCGTTTTCCAACAATGCGCGTCTTGCTCTGGCACTTGCACGAACCACTCGCCCTCCTCTTTCTCCTTTTTGCCTTTCTTTGACGGCGGTTCTACAGGGATGTTGTACACGACCTCCTTCCTGCCCAGCTTGTCATTATGGATGTATGCAACCCCAGGCTTCACATTTTTGACTTTCTTCTTCCGCATGATCCTTTTTGCGCCGTCGTGTCCGAGCAATCTGCCTGTCTCCCATTTCTCGAAAAACTCGACGGCCAGTTTCCAGACGTTCTCCCCTGCCATCGCCAGTGGGAAATAGGATCGCAGGGTAATGCCTTGTTTCCTGATGGCCTCCTCGCCCTGCTGATCTGCGAGAATCCACAAGTTGTTGTGCGGTGTCATGTTGAGTGCGACATTACAGAATTCACGTCACTTCCGGACCTGATCCTGTTTTCCGATGGGGTTACCCATAATAGCACGCGGGCAACCGACGCGCTTCCACCGCCACCTAATGTCCCTCATTGACAGCTTCAGCTGTCGTGGGGGCGCCTTCAGGTCCTTCTTGTTGTCCTGGGAAGTGACAAGGAAGTACCCTTCGAAGTCGTTGTCCGAAAAGTAGACCATTTGTGCAGGCCACCGCTCGAAATTGTATTTCCTCGCCACCTCGCTGCCGAGCAGCGACCTCGCTGCAGCCGCGTTGTGCTGCCCACACACCGCGTAGTAGTAGTATTGTCCCGCCAGCTCATCCCTCCAATCCTCCGGTCTCAGACGTTCTGCCCTGGTCCCCGGAGTCGGTTTATCAAGCCCCAGCAGCGCCAGTTTCAGGGTTGGTAAATCGTAAGACTGCGCTTTGTTTTCGAACGCCAACCGCATCGCTTCCTTGATCCCTATCATGAGCATGGGATCCTGGGACCGCTGGTTGTACAGGTCCTCCCAGTCCCCGAGGTCGACGACCTGCGCAGGGCTAATGTCGAACTCCCGCTTTGTCCGAACGCCGTCTTTGTACTCGAGGAAGTACCCGGCGTCGACGTCGATGGGAGTCCCTGTTGTCGGTGGAGAAGACGGTCCAGACTCAGGCTGCTCCTGTCTCGAAGACGGTCGTTTGGCAACCTGCCGGCCCTGCTCCCCCTCGGTCCCCTTGCGTTTCTCCCCTGCAGTCCTGAGGGCCTTGCTCTTTAACTTCTTCGTAGAACCGGCGAACTCGTCTGGACGATCCCCCCTCCTCTTTTGGGGAGCTCCTTGCGAGCCCAGGCCTCCCGTGTCCACCTCCTCCACACCCTGTCCCTCACTCGCCTCCAAGTCGACCTCCGAATAGGCTGCCACGTGTACCGCAGGCCTCGTACTCTTCCGCTGAACAGGAGCATCAGTCTGAATCCCAAGAATAGACAACACAGACCGCCGCGTGTCACTCAACGGCGGAGCAGTCCCCTCATCCTCGCTGTCGTCGAACTGACCTCGGCTCTCGCCACGGTGCAGCTGAGTGGCGGGACGAGAACCCAGATCACCGCCTCCGCCCCTGCCCAGCTTGACTCGCAACCGCTGCACATCTTCAACGGCAACGACAGCTCCAGGGATGGGTTGACGTTGCACGGGACGTGTAGAGCGATGTTTTTGTCCTCCAACACGTCGAAAAATTCACGCGCCAAAACAAAACCGCCCCCGGGAACGAGTTCTCTGTAGAACGGGGTGTTCACAACACCCGCTCCGAACCCCTCACACAATTCGAGGTCCAACAACGTCCCTTTCGAATTGGCAACGACGTTGCCCTTGGCGCCATAAACTTTCTACATATAGAAATGTCGCCGGCCCCCTTTTGCGTCCTCCCACCGCAAGACGGCACCAAGCACTCTACGCCTTCTGCTCTCATCGATGAAGATGAAAGGACCACATGGCTGCGCAGTGGGGTTGGAAGCGTCTCCACAACACCAGTCGATGAACCATTTCGACCTCGAATGGTTCGACCACCCCTGCGTGGCAGTAGACGACCGCCTCGTGGAATCTTTTCGTGATTCCTTCCCGGAGGTCCCTGTTGGCTCCACCTCGCCCTTGGAAGAAGACATACTGTCTGCGAACGACAACGCAAATCGAACAGCACACCATGAAGTCAACGTCTGTCAAAACACAGGAGAAACAGAACACTCGCTGCCGCACGTCAACGCAGGCTGCAGCGCAGCGAAAGCCGCACACGAAGACACCCAGACACCCAAATCCGGAACGGTGAGAAGGGGTAGTCCGTCGGGATCCGAACTTCAAGCGGGCAAGAGACCGAGAGGCAGACAGAGAGAGAGAAGCAAGTGAAAACTCGCAGTGCACATGGGATCACGCGCTGTTTATGCGGCACATAGGGCACCCCGAAGGACAAAGACAGACAAAACGCACAGTGAAAATCGCGAAGTCCGTCGGGATCCGAACAAAAGGACGGTGCATGAGATAGAGACGGGGGAAGCAGATTCCGAAAATTTTTCGCAGGAATCAACTGGCGGTCATGTTCGAAGCTCGCGCTCGACGGGGTAGTGTTCCCGACAGTCCAACAGCAGAAGCTCGCCGAGAGCCAAACCAGAACAGAGAGGCAGCCATGCAGCCAGCGTCCCTGAACCGTGCTCGACCAAACGCACTCCGGAACCATTGCCGGGCGGGTTGTGCAACCCACCCGGAACCACGAAGACTCACGATAAAGCAACGCACCTCCCAAAACGTGAAGTTCGCCGGGATCTGAACTTTAGAACGATGCGACAGGCAGAAATGGCGTCTAGGACACACGATCCACAAGTCTAAGGTTGTTAAACTCAAACCCGACCCAGGAAGGCCACACCGAAATGAAAGGCTGGTTGAAATGGAGGAGTCCAGGGACCTACGAAATGTTGACACGGCTGTTGCTTTCGAGCTTGGGTCCATCCGGTGCCAAGCTATGCATAACGCGAGATCGAAAATCGGAGTAGTTCGGATTAGGGCGGACTTTGGATGTTGCCAGAATCCACGAAGGGTCCGGAAGACCACCGTCTGTGGCAATAGACAGGCGACTCCTGAAGTTCGCCAGGATCCGAACTTCAGGAGGACGCGAGAAAGAGAGACAGAGAGAAACATCCAAAGGCGCACGAGGAAAAAACCCGGGGTTCCACAGCCGACCGCAGGTTTCGATGGTAGCAGTCATCGAGTCCAGGCGTAATTGGTAGCAGGACCGTTTCCGACTCCGCTCAGCACTCGAAGCTTGGAGGCCGGCAGGACGCACAGTCCAAACCGCGAAGTTCGCCGGGATCCGAACTTCAAGAGGGCGCGACATGGAAAGAGACGGCGTGCACTAGCAACTGCTGCCTCCCGCGCCTTTCTCCACTGCTAAAACTCTGCTATGTTCGGCAGCACACAAGCCTCTCACTCGTCTCCCTTCTTTTCGCTTAAGCAGGATGTCCAACCACACGTCCAGATCTTGTGACAATCGCGGCTCCTCGGGGATGAGGTCGCGAACCGTAGCCATACAAAGCATTCATTGATGATCCGTAAATGCGGACCAGCGGATCGTCGACAATTGCAGTTTCCGAAAAGATGGACATGTATTTCATCCTAACAAACACTCCCGGTCGTGCTAAGGAGTTCCCTATACAGTCCCGTATGGCGGACACTTTCTCCTCGACCTCCCTAAGCAACGAAAAGTTTTGGACCGGCCCTGCTATAACCAAATCTCGCCACCCATCTACACGTTCAGGCCCGGGCGTCGGCACGAATTTGAACCCCTCGATTGCCACCTCGTTGCGTGATACAAGCACAACTGCATCGACGAGTTTCCTACTCTTGTTCGATGCAGCGACACATAGAACTCTGGCGAAATCAGACCCGGACACAGTCAATCGCACACAACAGTATGACACAACTTGTGGAGAATTCCCGGGGCACCGGAGCGGGTATTGGCCCAGGAACGAGCAGTGACGAGCTCAGTCCAGCAACTCTTGTTTCCGCGAGCCTCCCCAAGTTCGTGGCGACGAGTTGACGTAGTGGCATTCGAGACGGCTGAAATGGCGGCTAATGCAGCCCAGCGCTCTGCGCATGTGGTTCAGGAACTTGTGTCCGAGGACAGCGTCAGACAGCGGGATGAGGTTCCCGAACTCCAACATGTTGGCGAATTTGTACTGGCTTGCCCAAGGGCAGCGACTCTCCATCGAGGCCCAATTCCCATCGCACCAATCGTCAATATGCGCATCTCTGCATGGGACGACGGTCGTCCAGGGGTCCTCGTCCAAGTCCTCAGCGGTCGCTCCGTGGATCGTAGTCACACCGTTGAAATGCCGCACTGATCTCGCGCAAGGAGGAAACGGTTCTGCCAAGCGAATGTGCGTTTCGGGAATCATGGTTTGTGGTGTCGAGAAGATCGACTCAAAGATTCGTGGTGTCTAGAAGGTCCCATCCATTACGCGCCCTACACACCACTCGCAAATACCAAACGACACACACGGGGAAGCTGATACTCGTAAACATAGTTGGCGAGCAATCAAACGACATAGGTCCCTTGCTGTGGTTGTGCACTGGGGTTGGAACGCGAGTTAGGTTTTCCGAAAGGCAAGAATCTGAAGTTCGCTGGGATCCGAACTTGGCGGAATGTCGTGGGAGAGACAAAGCTGTCTATCAAACTCGCCTTTCCATTCTTTCCTAAAGTTCAAATTCCCAAGGACTTCATATTTTCATAGGTCCACCATTGTGGTTGTGAACTGGGGTTGCAACTCGAGTTCGGTTTTACGAAAGGCAAGAACCTGAAGTTCGCCGGGATCCGTACTTCGCGAAATGCCGTGGGAGAGAAACAGTTGTCTGTCAAACTCGCCTTTCCATTCTTTCTTGAAGTTCGGATCCCGGCGTACTTCACATTTTGACAGGTCCAGTGTTGTTGTTGTGCACTGGGGTTGCAACTCGAGTTGGGTTTTACGAAAGGCGAGAACCTGAAGTTCGTCGTGATCCATACTTGGCGAAATGCCGTGGGAAAGAAACAGTTGTCTGTCAAACTCGCCTTTCCATTCTTTCTTGAAGTTCGGATTCCAGCGGACTTCATATTTTCACAGGTCCACTGCTGTGGTTATGCACTGGGGTGGCAACTCGAGTTGGGTTTTACGAAAGGCAAGAACCTGAAGTTCGCCGGGATCCGTACTTGGCGAAATGCGGTGGGAGAGAAACAGCTGTCTAGCAAACTCGCCTTCCCCTCTTTCTTGAAGTTCGGATTCCAGCGGACTTCACATTTTCACAGGTCCACCGCTGTGGTTGCCCGCTGGGGTTGCACCGCGTGTTGGGTCTTGCGAAAGGCGTGAACCGGAGGTCCACCGGGATCCGAGCTTGGCGAAATTATGTGGGAGAGACACAAATGTCTATCAAACTCGCCTTCCCGTGCTTTCTTGAAGTTCGGATCCCGACGGACTTTACATTTTCACAGGTCCCCCGCTGTCGTGTGGTGGCTGCAAAAAGTTCGTCGTTGGATGACCGACAAGGTTCGATGACCGACGAGGTTTGCCGTCCAGTGGCGTTCGATGTCCGCCAACATTTCGATGCCGCCGAGATTTGATGGGGCGCCAGGTTCGATGCCAAACAAGGTTCGATGGCCGACAAGGTTCGATGGCCAACAACGTTCGATGTGCAACAATGTCGTCACGAACTGTCTTTTGTACATTCTCGAACAGGGATCGACCTTTTTCACGGGTTTCTACCGTGTGGTGGACTAATTGCCCTGCGTGCTGCGTACGACCAATCGACGAGGAGGCAGGTCGAATGTAGTGCAATCGGGGCGAGAAAAGTGAACCGCTCGGCTGGCATGTCGGTGCCCTGGTCGGCGACCGGCCGATCAATCAGCTAATTGGCCAACCACAAACCAAAAAGTCGATCAATCAACTAATCAGTTACTTGTGCCAACGCTCTCCTGTCAACCAGTTTGCTGGATCGGTGGTACGCCTGCCGGTTGGGCGATCGCGCAGAGGGTGATGCCACGGTTGCAACGCAAACACACGTTCGGCTGTGTGGTTGGTGGACTGCTGGATCAACCAGTCGTCCGACCACAGTCCGAATAGTCGTTCAGTGATGTTGGTAGTGGTGGATCTATTGACCAGTCTACTGTTTGCTCGGGGTACATCAACGAGTGTGATGGATCGGTCGCTCGCCGCCAGGTTGGTCGTTCGCGCACGGTGCCACGTGTGTTTTGTTATTACATTTGATACTAGCGAAAAACACACACGCGGTGACAACGTTGAGACATCACACGCGATCAATCGACCGATCGCGAGCTCTCTGTTCGTGTTCGGCGATTGGTCGACTGGGTGCGTCTGCTGTCCCGACAATGTCACCTCCTGCTTTGATTGATCATCCATTCGGCAGATCAGCGACGGTATCGTGATCAATCGTGATGGTCCTGTTCATCACTCACGTGCGGTATGGCCGATGTCACCACTCACGTGTGGATGATTGATCTGATGAGTGGATAAAGATCCGATCTGCCGCGCGGTTATTATGTTTCGTGACCGGTCGCCTCGCACTCAATCGAAGCTTTCATCATGCATCAATTACTCAGCTCATGAGAACTGCCCAATGAACGGCCGATCGAAACACGCGATGACAATGTCGAGAGTGATCTGATCGTGCTCCATCGATCTGGACTGCATATAATCAAGGGATATTATCCACCTTGTGCTCTGGACTGTCTATAATCAATAATGAATACTATCAAATCAAGGAATGCAATCTATCTACCCATCTATTGTATCTCTGTCGCCGCGTGTTTCGATTAATCATCCTTTGGGAAGATCGACGACTACTGCGTTGGGACAGCAAACAGGAACAATGGAATGTGGCCAGTGGTCAGGATGTGATGAACTGACGAATGCCGATAGCTCCGATCGAACGGGCTGTGGTCGGTCACGAAACATAATCACCCCGCGCTCGATCGGATGTTTCTCCATTCATTAGTTTCATACACAACAAGATCACATGAGATCCACACACAAACGTGTGGATCTCGTGTGCTCTTGTTGTGTATGAAACTGATGAATGGAGAAACATCCGATCGAGCGCGGGGTGTTTATGTTTCGTGACTGGCCACAACGCGTTCGATCGGAGCTATCGGCATTCATCAGTTCATCACATCCTGACCACTGACCACACTCCATTGTTCCCGTTTGATGTTTGAATGTCGTAGCCCTCGACCTGCCCAAAGTGTGATTCGTCGAACCACGCGGCGACAAAGATACAATGGATGGATAGATGGACAACAGATTACAGTTCTTCATTAGAGCGTACGGAATCGCCAGATATTACGCACGCATGTCGCTCAACGCCAGAATACAGCAGGAGTACCCTCGGGATGCGAAACAATTCATTCAACCATGGCCGCACACCTTGGCGACAACCTCCGCGCGTTCAATCGGCGAAATAACACACACGCACATAAACAGACACATGCACACACACAAGCACACACACGCGCACACACGCCGCGTACACAAACACGCCCCTCAAGAAAAGACACTACATACGCAAACCCGAAAAAAAAACACTCCAACACACAATCAACCGCACGCGCACATGCAAAGACACACTCGTCACGCACAAGCAAACACAAAGTTTAACACAACCGCATGCGCACATGCGAACACATACTCGTCACGCACAAGCAAAAGCAACCGCACGCGCACATGCAAACACACACTCGTCCAAACAACGCTGATGTATCAGCAGAAAAGCCGCCCACAAGCGCTCACAGAAACACACACGTACCGGGTTCGTGCGCACTCACCTTGTGAGAGTGTCGAGTAAAGATGCGTGCGGATCCCGTCGTCGATCGAGATAGGAATGCTGCGACCTTGTGCCATGCGCTTTGTGTTGGCGATGGTAATGCGTGGAGCGTCGGATGCGCTGATCCAGAATCGAGATGTCGTCGCTGAGTCGACGGGATATCGACGCGTGATGTCAAAGATGACGTGGGCAGCGACTAGGGAGGTGGAGGGAGATGCGTCGTAGAAAAGGTGGCGACCAGGGTTTAGAACGGCTGTCTGTTCGCTTCGCTACCTATGGTGCTCCAGCTGGGCGGGGCGATGGTGTTGACGACAATGGTGGTGCGAGGCGTCCGTCCGGCAGCATCTACCCAGCAAAAAACGCAGAAAGCGGCGTTCACGCCCCGGGCGCCGCTCGTATTTGTAGGCGCGCGTGGGTCGGGTCCCCTTCGGGTCTTCCATTTTGGAGTGCCTCGCAGGGTCCGTTTGATGCCACGACAGGTTGGCCACATGTCATTCCGCGCATCGAACGATGGCCACACGTCAAATTTCCCGCTAAGGGGGACCCGGTGCGCGCGACATGGCAAAAAAAAGTCCCTTCGAACAGGGCCTTCCTGGGCGTCATGGAAAAGGGCCGTCGTCCCAGGCCCCTTGCGTTCTTGTGTTCGCCTTCGCGGGCCCCGCCAAAGGGGTTTTCGGGCTGCGCGGGGGGGGGTGTTTTTCGGTACGCGTCTGGAGGGTTTTGGGGNCGCTAAGGGGGACCCGGTGCGCGCGACATGGCAAAAAAAAGTCCCTTCGAACAGGGCCTTCCTGGGCGTCATGGAAAAGGGCCGTCGTCCCAGGCCCCTTGCGTTCTTGTGTTCGCCTTCGCGGGCCCCGCCAAAGGGGTTTTCGGGCTGGGGGGGGGGGGGTGTTTTTCGGTACGCGTCTGGAGGGTTTTGGGGGGGGGGGGGGGGGGGGGCGGAGGCGGTTGGGCCCGGTTTTTCGTAGTGCACATTGAGAAGTCGCATTCTGGCCATCCGATTTGCGGATCGGACAGCCATAGTGCGTCTTCTAACATGGTGTCTGTGGCACTTCCTGCGCGGGCGTCCGACGTGCATTTTCGAACCTACCGTGGGGTGCGACGATAGATGAGCATCTGACTGGGGTCTAGTGCTGCCCATTTGCGTCTCCTGCCCGACGAGCTGGTCCGCGCGACGCCATGTAAGCGACTTCCTCCATTGCCTGCGCAAAATCCGCTGTCGCGCCTCGTGTCTCCGAGAGCAGGCGTCTTGATTTACCCCCGCCATCGCGTCTGTCGACTGAGCTTCGACATCCCCTCTTTGCGTTCCGCGTCATCGCGTGTCCGCCGTCATCTGCGCTTCGCCCTCGTGACGTGGCCGACCGTGCCATTCAAGGTATAGTGCTGTTCTGTCTGGCCACGTGTCCTCCATCGACTACAACTGTTGGCGTTAGGGTTGAGGTGCATGCTTGTGTGCGCATAAGACGCGTTGCATCGTGCCACGTATAGCGGGTGGCGGGTACCGCTGTCGACGTGAAGGGATTTGAGTCCGCGGCGTCCATCCCTCCATGCTGTTCACTCTCGCTCGTGCATCCTTTTCTGTGATTCGTTTTCTTGTTCTGTGTTCATCCTCACTCGTTCATTCCTTTCATGACTTCATTGCTTATCCCTTTCGATGTGAACCACCCCCGCGCAGATATGTGTGAGGGATCGAGACGACACCAGTTGCCTTTGTGTTGCCACGTAGTCCACAGAGCCACATGTTCAGTGACGAGAACCTGGACACGGATCGACGACGTCCTCCCGTTGTTGAGCGCCAACGTCCTCCCGTTGTTGAGCGCCACCCCTACTCAGCGTAAGAGACAGCCACTGCATGCCAGGTGGATGATCGATAACCTCGCGCAGATCCCTCCCGTGTGAGTGAACCTTTCTCTCACACGGGGGGGGGGGGGGGGCGACTGTGCGAGCACGACAGGGATCCGCGCGCGGTTCTCCAAATGATTGAACGTTGGTTTGCATACATTGCGGGGGGAGGGCATTTGAGCGAGCACGACTAGGATGCGCGCGTGGCTCTCGATCATCCACCTGCCGTGCATTGGCTGTCTCTTACGCTTAAGACGGCTGGTGTCCAACACCGGGAAGACGTCTCGCCACTGAACATGTGCCTCTGTCGCCGTAGAGACCATGTGTCAACCCGATCCCGCGCACACAGCGTGCAGATCATCCGTCCTAGAGCCCACCGATGTTGAGCGTGAGCTGCTGGCGCTGGTCGTGAGCGATGCGCTGCGTCACTCCTTGCGACCAGCGAAAGGAATGTGCGTGCGACATCATGATGACGCCGACAAACTCCTTGCGCAGCTCGCCACATCTCATGCGCCAACAAGCGAAGTTCGCCGGGATCCGAACTTCATGTTGCGACCCTCGCACGGTGGCGGCTAGCAGGGTGTTCGGAGCTATCGACTCGCGCTGTTAAAACCACATATCCAACATTGTGAGCTTCCATTGTCGGCGCACGTAATGACACAAAGCGCGTCTGTCGCTTTATTTCCTCTCCGCACGAACGTAAGGGCATATCCAACACTTTTGGTTGTTCGAACTACGGTCTAAACATTTCTACAATCAATTTCATCTGAAAGAATTTCTGGAATAACCTTCTGAGGCAGTCGCAAGGCCGTGGTGATTTCAACTTCTACAATCCAAGTTCGGATCTCGGCGGACTTCGGGAAGTTCATGGATCCGCGCAAATCCAACCGCCCCGTTCAAGACCCCGAACTGTCCGACGTGGTCTGCAAGTCGGAAACCCTGGGTTGCGCAAAATGCACGCTTCGAGAGATGACTTATAGGGGTTTATGGGGGGGTGTGCCCAAGCATCGCTTGCTTCTGTGCAAATGCCAGGCACCCGTTCTTATACATGCGACCGCGCGAAAACCTGTTACTCGCTACACTCGCATCCGCCAAGTTCGGATCCCGGCGGACTTTGAGGATCCGCGGGAAACTGACCGTCCTTCGCATGAGGTGTGGACCTTTGCGTGCGATTTGCTACCGGGAGGAGTATTGGTTCGCAAAATTCCTCGCCGTATGGAATGCCCATTCAGGGGTTTACGGGGGTTTCCGTTGGTGCCATCATGCGTGTCCGTTATCGGGGTGCCGTCGATCCCGATAAGTTTTGGCAGTCGGAGGCCCTAGGGTGCGCAGAATGCTCGCTTCAAGAAATGGCTTGTAGGGGTTTACGGGGGGTGCGCCCAATCATCATCTGCTTCTGTGCAAACGCCGACCAACCGTTCCACCCGCTGCAGCCGCGCGAAAACCTGTGCCTCGCTGCACTCGCATCCCCCAAGTTCGGGTCCCGGCGGACTTTGAGGATCCGCTGGAATCCAACCATCCTACGCATGACGCGTGGACCATTGCGTGCGACTTGATTGCGAGAGGAGTGTTGGTGCGCAAAATTTCTCGCTGTCTGGAATGCCCGTGTAGGGGTTTATGGGGGTTTCCGTCGGTGCCATCATGCGTGTCCGTTGTCAGTCTGCCGTCGATCCCGACGTGCTGTGGTACTCGGAGGCCCTGGGGTGCGCTAATTGCTCGCTTCAAGAAATGGCTTATAGGGGTTTATGGGGGGTGCGGCCAAGCAATGTCTGTTTTTGTGCAAACGTCGACCAACCATTCCAACCGCTGCAGCCGCGCGAAAACCTGTGACTCGCTGCACTCGCATCCGCCAAGTTCGGATCCCGGTGGACTTTGAGGATCCGCTGGAATCCTACCGTCCTACGCATGACGCGTGGACCATTGCGTGCGACTTGATTGCGAGAGGAGTGTTGGTGCGCAAAATCTCTCGCCGTCTGGAATGCCTTTGTAGGGGTTTAAGGGGGTTGTCGTTGGTGGCAGCAGACGTGTCCGTTGACGGTCTGCCGTCGATCACGAAGTGCTCAGGTAGTCGGAGGCCCTGGGGTGCGCTAAATGCTCGCTTTAAGAAATGGCTTGTAGGGTTTTATGGGAGGTGCGGCCAAGCATCGTGTGTTTCTGTGCAAACGCCAACCATCCGTTCCAACCGCTGCAGCCGTGCGAAAACCTGTGACTCGCTGCACCCGCATCCTCCAAGTTCGGATCCCGGCGGACTATGAGGATCCGCTGGAATCCAACCGTCC